ACCTGTTGAATGAGCAACTTAAGGCGATAAAGAAAGAACTCTGGTTGCAGAAGGTTGACAAAACTACACTTTTTAATAAAATTTAGGAAAATTCTAAAATCAATTATTCGATTTCATAATTGGTTAATAAAAATGGTAGGATTAATATTAGAGACCTCACTTTGGGTTTAGTCCTTTAGGTTCTTTAATTTCATAAATTTGACACTTTTAGGCTAGAAATCCTTTAACAAACTCACCTAGTAAAATTAGGATTATAATTGATCGATCGATTGCATATAATTTTAAAGACAAGGCAATGTTAACTTATTTAGGGAATCAATAATATAGTCTTGTCATTGCTCTAGGGGCAACCACTAGTAATTTCTGTAATAGGTCAATATCCTTTTCAAAACCCTTCATTCTTTTAAATCTTGAGGTAATAGGCGTAATAATTGATCTTCCGCATTCATGCTAGGGGCTAATATTATTGGCTCAAATAACAAAGCATCATTTTCAACTGTGCATCCATTGTGATTTTTTTATTAAATAAAGTTCAAACTCAAATTTTCCAAATTTTAAAATAGAGTAATCAACTAGGTACCAATTTATGGGCGTTGTGGCTAACAATTCCTCACGCGTAACCGACTCCTGAGTTTGATTTCTAGATTTTCGCAGACCCCAAAACTCAGTATTTTAGTAAAATAAAATGTTTCATTAAAATAAACATATTTTTATGGTGTTCCAATTGCACCTTAAATGGTTGGTGACTATTCCTCACATTTTAAAATATTTTCAAACAAAAACCCCTAAATCGTACTAATTTTTTTCCTACCCAAACGAAAAACGGTGAAGACAGCAACTAATACCTCATTAGCTGAGGTGATACGGCCTGCAAGAGAGATTCTTGGCTGCCCACCCAGAGAGTTTAGCCTGAACCATCCGAACCAAATAAACATATGATTCCGAAGTAACCCGATTATGAAGCATAGGGACCCCCAAGTATCACCCCAGGTCATTGACCATGTTAAATCCCAATCTCTCGCTAAGCCGCTTGCGCAATGCAATTGAAACGTTCTTTGAAAAATACATAGTTGTTTTCGAGATCCATCTGTCATGTCATCTGTCATCGTAAACTGTCAAATTAATATTATAGATTGACACATCAACATTATAACGGTTAACTACAAAAAATATTAATTTAAGGGTCACATTAAAATTATTTGCTGAGTTAAAAGGTCATATTAAAAGAAATAATACGAGAATCATATTTATTTATTTTTAAAAGTACATGAACTTCTAATTTTTTTCTTAAAATAAAATACATAAGAGGGAATTCTTTCTCAATTTCAAAAATAGATCTAAATATGTTTTATTTAAAATTAAGTTATAATATTTATTTTAAAATCAAACCATAAAAAAAAAATAAGAAATCTTAAAATTTAGGAATAACAACGACACGAAAAAAACAATGATAAATTGAGGAGATTAACTAAAGTAAAAGAAGAAATTGATTTCCCTATTAAGACACCAAACAAATAGCTATTATATTTATATCTTTTAAACCACAAATAAAATAATAAAAATATTTATTATTAAATTCTTTATTTTTCATGATTTTAAAAAGAGAAAATAACCTCATCGACCAAAAATGCCTTATAATATACGATTTTAACCAACTTTTTTTGGATTTGCCAAAATGACCAACTAAATCGCAATGCGATCGATAATTCGCAACGCGATCTCTAGTATCGCAAATCAGTTTCCAAGTTCGCAACGCGAACTTCGATTATCGCAATGCGAACTTGGATTATCGCAATGCGAATATGTAAATCGTAATAACTATCGCATTGCGATTTACATGTGCAAAATCGCAACGACTGGTGGTATTGCATTTGTTTCTTAAGAATTTTCTCTAAAAAGATAGTATTCGCGCGGACGTGTCGAAGACACGTATTACCACGACCACGACCACGAGACAAGACGAGACGAGACGGACGGCGGTGGTGGCAGCGCGCGAGAGTCCCCCTTGTTCTCTATCACTCAACAAGGAAGTGGGAAAGCCAAGCCTTAAATACCATTCTCAATAGTGTTTCCAATACTATGTGAGATTGAGTATTACCAACACTTGTTTCCAATACAATGTGATTATTCAGGAAACAATTAACAATCATACACCTTAAAATAACTGAATCAGCAACCAATTGCATTAGTATTATACGATTAAATATATCATAATTAAATGTCAATCTACAATCAATCGCGATTATTGCAATTTTAAGCAAAACATTCAAAAATAATATCACTATTTAAGGCTCAATCCCACATAGTATTGAGAACAAGTGTTGGTAATGCTCAATCCCACATAGTATTGGAAACACTATTGGGAAGATATTTAAGGCTTGACTTTTCCACTTCCTTGTTAAGTGATAGAGAACAAGGGGACTCTCGCGCGCCGCCGCCGTCCGTCTCGTCTCGTCTCTGGTCGGGTCGGGTCGTGGTCGTGGTCGTGGTCGTGGTAATATGTGTCTTCGACACGTCCGCGCGAATACTATCTTTTTAGAGAAAATTCTTAAGAAACAAATATAATACCGTCGTTGCGAACTTGGACTATCACAATGCGATAGTCGAAGTTCGTGTTGCGAATCTGGAAACTGATTTGCGATACCGAAAAGCATTGCGATTTAGTTGGTCATTTTGACAAATTCAAAAAAAATTAATTAAAATCGTATATTATAAGACATTTTTATCACTGATGTTATTTCCTCTTTTAAAAACTCCAGATCAACGAGGAGTAACACGTTTTAATTAAAATAAATAAATAAAGTTTAACAATTTAAGAACACGTCAGATTCTGGCCCCAAAAAACCCAGAAACAACCCGTAATATTAATGAAGCCGCACGAAGAACTAATCCAACTCAAAGAACCGTGTGAAACGTGGACCAATAAGCGTGCTCCATTTGTCGCTACATGTTAAACACGCTTCCATGGGGACTTGTAGGACGGAGAAAAAAACCGACAATCCGAAAAATTGATTCGAACCAAATTATACGATTCAGTTTGATTTGGTTTAGGTTTTTTTAATTTGCGGTTCGATTTTAATTTCGTTAAAATAGTAAGTATATGATTCGGTTTGATATCGACTTTTTCATATGAAAATTGTTTGAATCGAATCAAATTAAATTAAAAAATAAAAGAAAATAAGTATAAAAAAATAAATTCATTTTGAATTTATTAAAAGACAAGTTTAAATAAATAAAATATTGAAACTAATAATATTTTATTATAAACTTAAATTTATAGGTCGATTTAAACTTTAAATTTATTTTTTTAGGATAAGTTTAAAAATTAATAAAAAATAAAAATTGTAAAATCAAATCAAACCGAATTAAATCGAACATAAAACCGTGCTTTTTTATATTATCGGCCTCGATCTCAATTTAATAAACCCGTAAAATACGATGATTCGATTTATATTTTAATGAAAAATCAAACATAACCTAATCAAATACATCTCTATAGATTTGGAGACTAAGCTTTGGGGCCCACTTCTCACCATCATTTTATGAAAAAGGTAATATTTTCGATTATAATTTAAAATATTATAAAAAAGATTTGCATCCAAAAAATATTAAGAAAAACATAACATTTTATGTTGTGTCCAACCAAAAATATTATGTTTATTTATAACATTTTTTATCACGTCTTTTTTTTATCTTATATTAAATTGTTATATCGTAGAACTCCCTAATTTATAATCATATAAGAAGAAGTAGAAGAAATCCCTAAATCCAAGCACTTAATTGTAGCTTCTTATTTCATTTTGTTGTCTTATTTTCATGGGTAAACTACGCATTTAGTATATGAACTATTAGTTTCAGTCCGTTTTAGTACTAAAAGTTTCAAATTTTCAAAACTATACCTAATGTTTAGTTTTTATTTCATTTTAGTACCCACCTTTAAAACTTAATGTGTTTTAATGCCTAAACTATCAATTTTGGTTCATTTTAGTACCTGAACTTTCAATTTTTTCAAAACTTAACGTTAAATTTTGAATGGGGTACTGAAATGAAACAAAAATTAATCTTTAGATATGATTTTGAAAAAAATAAAGTTTAGGTACTAAAATGAACCACGTAATGCGCCTTATTTTTATTGTAACACATAGAGAGAAGTACATGGAAGAACACATAATTTTATATTTAAGGGACGGGTTTATAAAATTTTAAAAAGTGTAAACAAATTATCATACAAAATATAAAAGAAATACTAAAATTATGTTAGTAATGTTAGAGAAAAACTAAAGGTACATATCCCACATTGAGAAAGAATATCCCTTTCGGAAGATATTTAAAGGGCTACATTTTCCCTTCCATATTGAACATGGAATGATAACAACTCTCCCGTTAAATTTGTTCCTTTTAGATGTTAAAACTACCTTATTAGAAAAGTTTACTTTTATACGTCTCATTCTTTTAAATATATCAATCACTTTTTTGAGATAATTTTATTATTTTCCTCGTTTCAAATGTCTTGACATGTAATCAAGTTTATCTCCTAAGACTAGGTGCTTGGTTAACCTAGGACAAAAATAATGAGACGAAAGAAATAAATTTTTAAAATTTTTAAGAGACGATTATCCCAACAGCCCACACGATCCATCCTGGAAGAGTCGGTCACTCGAGTTCCATGTGGAACATGAAGTCATTTTCTATGCTCTTGGAAGTTGGGGAGATTTGCAATTTTTGCGTGTAAATCATGCAACTCACCATTGAAATTGGGACCAACACTTGCACACGTAGTCCTTATATCTGGACCAATCAAAGCATGCTCCTTGATTGAGCTTCAACCCCTATTCAACCATGGTGTACACATGGATTGCAGATACACCATCAATTTAGATATTTCTAGTAAAGTCCTCCTCTATTTAAACCTCTCTCCTGCCGATCCAAAATCTCAACATATTCTTTCTTCTTCTTCTTCTTCTTCGTCAATTACTTAACCCTCAGTTTTGTTAATCAGAATGGGCAAGGAAAGTAGGGAAAGATGTTGGTGGATGGCAAGAGCTCCACCTTCCATGGTTTACCCTGAAAAGCCTTCCACTTCTCCACTTCTTGAGACCATCGTCGAAGACGCCGCCGAGGAATACGATGAAAACAGTTGCAGGATTCTTCTGTATATATCCCAATTCATCCAAACATGTCAGCATCTGAGGACTGTTCCATTGCCTTTTCCCATGGTTCCATTGAAGTAGAGAAACACTAAGGATTGGTATTGCAAATTTTGTATGCCATATTTCTTTTCTCCATGTATGTACATTAAGTTCTTATCGTGGTATTTACTTCATTTCTTCACTTAAATCACTGCCTCTGCTCTTATACCATCCTGCAATCTTTTATAAGAATTGTGTGTTTAAAACTTTGACACCATTATACCTTCATGTTCCAGGAATTGTTAGCCTTTTTCAATAAAATCTGTATTTACTAAAAAAAACAAAGTTGAATCTAATCCAATATTCCCAATCCACAATTATATAGTTTGACACAATAATTAGGCTTGTAAACGAACCGTTCGGTGGGAAGTTCGTTTATGTTCGTTTGTTTATTAAAAGAACGAACATGAACAAGATTATGTGTTCGTTTAATTAAATGAACAAACACGAACAAAAGGCTCGTTCGTTCATTTATGTTCGTTCGTTTCCTTTTGTTCGTTTATGTTCTCTATACTCGTTTGAAATATAAAGATTTAAAAAAAAAATTAACTTTAAACCCATTAACATTTTTAAACTCGATTAATTTTATACCCAAATAAAAAGTACTCAAATAGTTAAAGAAAATATAAATTCTAAAATTATTTGAAAAGAAGAAAAAAAACTTTCTCAAATATAAACCCAATTAATTTTATGTTCGTTCGTTTATGTTCATTTGTGTTCGTTTGTCATTTAAATGAATGAACATGAATGAACACGAACAAGCTAAATTTATTAATGAACGAACACAAACAAGCTAAATTTCTTAATGAACGGATACAAACAAAAAAATCAGTCCGTTTAATTGTTCGTTTGTTCGGTTAAAGTTAAACGAACGAACATGAATATATTCTCGTTCGTGTTCGTTTGGTTCATTTAGATGCCAATGGGAAAATTCAATTATATTTTTCTTAGTAATTAATTTCAGTCACAGTTTATTTTAAATATTTTTTATATCAATTATGTAATAGCTACATGACTTGGCCAAGTGGTTAAGCATTTACCTTATCCTAGGTCATGAATTTGATCTCTAAAACTGCTTAACGGCAATTTAACAATCAGGGACTAAAAATAAAGAAAATATAATGTTAGCAGTTAAATTTATGGAAAAAATAATTTCATTATCAAAATTGGAGAGAAATAATAGTTTGGTGACCAATAATGAAGTTTACCCTACTAATATTTGTTTCTCTTATGTTAATTTTTTATATTAGTCCCGTTATTATATTCAAATTTGGTATTTAATTATTATACTTCAATTTAACATGATTTAATCTATACTTTATAATATCATCCATTAATCTAAATAATTAGCAATGCTAATTATTACAATCAAAATATTAATGTCATTAACCCATTAAGGGGTGTTTGGTTAAGGTAATATGTGATTACCGGGGGAATGGAATGTTATTCTCCCGTTTGGTTGGCCAGTAATCCTATTCTCTGGTAATCTTTTACTCCCAATAGTGGTATTTTTTGGGTATATTATCAGGAATGTGATTACCCCTTCCCTAAGGTATTGTTGGATTACCGACGTTTTGGACTAAAATACCTTAAAATAAATTTTAAAAATATCATTCTTCTGTCATTGAATAATAAAAATTCTACGAATGTTAAATTACAAATTTATCCTTAAACTATTTTAGATTTACAAAAAAGTCCATAATTAGAATTTTATATGAAGTTCAGGGGTTAAAATAAAATTTTACCATTTCATTAAACCTATTTATCTTTTCAATTTTGTAAAAAAAATTATATAAATTTTATGAATTTAAATTTTTAAAGAAAATATATAAATTAATTATAGTAATATTAGAGTAGAATTCAACTTGTTATAATATATAATAATAATAATAATAATAATAAGGACAATTTGGTAAAATATACATTCCAATAATATTTTATTCCTTTAACCAAACAATGTAATCTTACATTCATGCTAAACGAACCAAACACAAAATACAACATTCACAGTAATCTTATTCCCACCGATAATCCTATTCCCACTGGTAATCTTACATTCCGTGAACTAAACGCACCCTAAGTGATTTCAGTGGTTAAAAAGGAGTGTTGTTCTCTTTTGAGATCTTGGGCTCGAGTAGCTGCATCTACAAGGTGTGTGTTATTAATGACTAAAAAATATTATAAATATATATTATCTTATAATTACCTAATACTATTAAAAAAATATTAATGTAATTTAAAAAAAAAATCACTCCCAAAACAAAATAAGGAATGAATGGAATTGAGCGTTTTTTGTTTTTATTTAAAAAAAATTATTTGCAAACATTTTACCAAATTAATTAATGGTGATAATTATTAAAATTATTTTTAAAATTAAAAATATAATTTCAAAATAGCTTTGGGTCAGCTTCATTTGTTAGTTCCTTCTGGTTTAACCTTGCAAAGGAAGGCTTCTCAATTGTTCTGTTAACCATAATTTTGATTAATAATTATCAAAACGAGACAAATAAATGATAAAATCACGTCCAATCAATTGAAAGGTAGGTATATACTATTGGCATGTGCTGTTTGTCCCCATGCTTTTTTTTGTTTAATTATAAAATAAGTGTTCAAATTATACATTTTTCACGAATTGGTGCCTAGATTATTTTTTGAATCATTCAAGTGTTTAATGTTAAAAACGTTACCACTTTATGTTCCCAACTTATAATGACCGTTAAATTCCATCGTTAAATGACATGTGTCGCCTACATGTAATTTTAAAAAAATTATAAAAAAAACTTTAAAACATTTAAAAAAAGTCCAAAATTTTCAAAAAAAACTTAAAAACCTCCCTTTAACTTTGAAAACCCTAAATCTAGTCTCTATACTTGTGCTCATTGCCGCCGTTGTTGTTGATTGGACCATATCAAATATATCGAAAGGCAGCGTTACTGTTATTTTGTGAGCTCTATCGCGATTGTGGACCGCTATTTAAAACCCTGCTCCCAAAAGTCATACTACAACCAATATGGCGGAGGAACCACAACCTCGCCGACGGATACAGCACCGTAACTGGTTTGGGCGCCGAAATCATTGGCACCTTCGTTCTCGTCTACACTGTTTTCTCCGCAACTGATCCGAAGAGTAATGCAAGAGGCTCCCATATCCCTGTAAGTCTCTAGCTTAACCTATTGAGAAAACATACAGACAACAAAGTTGTATGAGTTAATGAATTTATTTTGTTTTTTATTATTTAAGGTCTTGGCACCACTTCCCATCGGATACGCCGTGTTCATGGTTCACTTGGCCACGATTCCTATTATCGGGACCGGTATCAACCCCGCCCGTAGTTTCGGAGCTGCTGTTATCTTCAACCACGACAAGATATGGGATGACCATGTATGAATCTTTCGGATTTGGTCTTTTTCATATGATACGTTTCAAAACTACTGATGTTTTGTTATTTTTTTGCAGTGGATTTTCTGGGTTGGACCTTTCATTGGAGCTGCCATTGCTGCAATCTATCACCAGTTCATCGTAAGGGAATCTGCTGCTAAAGCAATGGGATCCTTCAGGAGCAGCTCTTCCATGTAAAACCAATAATTCCACAGCTAAAAGTTCATAAGAATGGCCGCCATGGATGAATCAATGGAGTTCTTTTAGGAGCTTTGAATCTGTAAATTGTAATCGAAGTGTCATGCTTCTCTCTGTATGTGGCACTCGTTTTTCAAGTTCCCCCACCAAGTTTGCTTTATGAATCTGACCATTAGATTAAAGCCACATGGCAAATCTTTAGCCACTTATCATGTCCGAATTCTGATTTTGCCCGTCGAGCTATTTTGGCAACCAAATTACAACAGGCCCCAAAACCATGGTTTTCTAATCTCTAGGTGTTATTACCGTTGGTGTTAATGCCTTTGCACACTTTTTGTTGCATCTTTTTCTCTCTGTTTCAAATCACACCCTCCTTTTCTTTATTAATCATACGAACAGTCGAAAACAAAAACGATTCATGTTGGTTTCGGCATTTGAGAGAGAACCATTGGCAAAAGAGATCATCTTGATCAAAACGATCCAATTTTTACGAGAAGATTCAAGGGAAGGGCAAGACGAGGATCATCCTACACACGAGTAAAGCATGATATTTGCTCTTTGTGTAATCATTTTTCACTGATGATGGGATTCTGATCCTATTTCTATGGTTTATTGCAGTTGTGAAGATTGATTGAGGATTGGATCAATCAGCTTCATTAATTTTACATCTTTTGGCTTTGGTAAATCTTGAGACTTTGTGCTCAATCGCCATTGCGATGTCCCTTTTATCCAGATTACGATGCATCACCGTCGATGTGACCGGGACTCTCATAGCATACAAAGGGGAGCTCGGTGACTACTACTGCATGGCAGCTAAATCTGTTGGACTGCCATGCCCGGACTATAAACGTGTGCATGAAGGTTTCAAGTTTGCATACACAGAGATGACGAACAAGTATCCTTGTTTCGGATTTGCTGCGAAAATGCCCAACATTGAATGGTGGAAAATCTGTGTTAGGGATTCATTTGTCAAGGTAAGATATTTGTATTAGGCTATCAAAGGTACTGATATACATTGTATGTGACAGGGACGTACGCAGGATGTTATACTGGGGTGTCTGCACCCCTCGGTCTATCCATGTATATGACATCAGTCTTATTTTGCTTACAGGCAGGGTACGAGTACGACGAGGAGACATTTGAGAAGATATTTAAACGTATATATGCTTCGTTCGGCTCGTCTGCACCGTATATGGTGTTTCTGGACTCCCAACCCTTTTTAAGATGGGCTCATGAGAAAGGTCTTAAGGTAGGGATCATAAGCAATGCAGAATATCGATACCAAGATGTCATACTGCCGGCATTGGGCTTGAACCAGGTAAAGGACGAAGGATTATATGTTATGGGAAACGAATCGTATAATAGTTTAGGAGACAAAATACAAAAGATATAGAAAATATATGAGAATTTGAACCTCGATCAACCCTGCTCAATGCCTACAAGAAAAATGAGAACCAAAGATTTGGGATATAGTATGCTTGCTCCATTGCAACATAATGCTGTGATGGCACATTTTATCTGTTGAGCTTGATTAGGTGATTTAGTCTGATGTTTATATTTGAAAGTCATGTCTATATGGTTGTTCTAGGGATCAGAGTGGGACTTCGGTGTGTTCTCCGGTCTCGAAGGTGTAGAGAAACCGGACCGACGGATTTACGAGATTGCACTCGAAAGGGCTGGAAATATTGCACCAGAAGAGACTCTGCACATTGGTGACAGCATGCGCAAAGACTATGTGCCGGCAAGGAGTCTGGGGATGAATGCCATGTTGTTGGATCGATTCAGTACACCCGAAGCCGAGGAGTGGAGAAAATTGGGCGCTATCGTTCTTCCCGACTTGACGGCAGTGCAGGAATTCCTTACATCGGAGAATTTGACATTAGCTTTCTAAGGAAATGCTGCTGCTGATGTCTGTATGTTTTGTTTAAACCATTTGTTTAATAAATATGTGATAGCCGATTACATTACTAGCTGGTACTACAACTATTATTATTTTCAAACTCTATGAATTTTATAAAATTTAAACTACAACTATTCATTTCATCTTAAATGATTTGTTCTTTGGTCTTCAAAAACTAATTTTGATTTCCATCTTCTCTGGTATGGAGATTTGAATTTTAGCTGTTTATTTTGAACAAGTTTTCTAGCAGAATCCAGTTAAGAGTATTGCACTAGGCTTTGTGGGAAAATTGAGTATATCTTATACCTATAACCTGTAATTTCCCTTGTTCTATAATACTTTTATCTCAATGTGATCAGCTAATCTGATGAAGCTGGAGCATTTTTTTTTTCGAGATCGAGTCAAGGCTACCCTCATGAACTTTACATTTTGCATCTAGTGGTTAGAAAGTGAGGTTGTCTTCCTGCTAGATTTGCAATTATACTGCTATGAACTTATAATCAATCTTGTGCTTGGATATATATATATATATATATATATATGTGTGTGTGTGTGTGTTGTTTTGACCTTTTAGGAAGACATGGAAGCCAATAGGGGACTTGCTTGCTGCAGAACAAGAAGCTCAGCACATTGTGAATTCTGCAAGAAATGGTAACTACTCTACTTGTTGTGCTCGCTGGCCATTCGAACGATTGGTCTGTATTTATAATTATAGATCGATACATATGTTCGTTCGTGTGTATACCTTCTCGTATCTCGATTTCTAGAAGAAAGAAAAAAAATTATCCTTTACATCTGTAGCTTGCAAAGTGTCTCTGTCATGCATGGAATTCTTCCCGCCTGCATTATTTTTAGTCTTCTCAAGGTAGTCCCATGGATTTCATTATGGTTCATTGTTACATTTTCCATTATTAATGCCAAAACAAATGTTCTTGATTCTTTATTTCTTGGATTTCTACCTTTAGCCAAGATGGCTAGGCTGAAACAAGCCAACCAACTGAGCAAGAGGCTGAAAAGGAGATAGCCGAATGACGAGCTCAAGAGGAAACTTGACGAGGTAAATACCTTTTGATGTTCAACTAGACATAGCATCTGACCCTTCTTCTTGTAGCTTGTAAAGTGTCTGTTTACCGCTCGAGATCGTTAACGACGACCGGAAGCTTTCTCGCCTTGCATAGTTCCTTTAAAGTCTCCGGAAGATCCTCTTACCCAAGTAAACTTTTAACCTTCCGGAGCACCTATCCTCTACATAATTTTCTATTTCAAATTAAAATTTCCGTATGATAATATTGTTTATGTTTAATAATTATTGGATTATGATTGTATTATTTCTAACAAAATGGTATCGAAAACTAAACAAGAGGGATCAATGAGCTTGTTGTGTCGTATGCCTCAAGTTTCTTTTTCTGCAACTATTTCCAAGTCATACAAACACCCAACTAGCTTCACCAATTTTAGAGACAATCAAGTTGGAGAAAGAAACTCCCTTTTTGAAGTGGGAATTAGAGCTTGCGTGTTAGCTATATGCCAAATTTGACAACTCAAAAGCCAAAAGTAAGGGTTACATGCTTCAATACAATCCAGTTGATTACGAGTTTTTCAAGTCGTGTATCAAGTAGTTTGTTTCGACTAGTTAAGAAATCGAGTATATTTGAGTCAAATATTTATTAAATTTTGACCGAGTCAATCTCAAGTAACTCGTAATATGTCTCGTCTCATTTACAACCTTACTCACCGTTAAAAAAATTAACAAGACTAGTGACATGATATTTTTTTTTACTTTTCACTGATAACATATTTTTAACTTATGGTGATACATCATTATCATCATAAATTATTTCACGATAAATTACTAAAATAAAATTAAAATTAAAACTAAAGATTAAATATTTATATGACGAAAAAAATGTTAGGTAAGATGCAAGACATGTAATTTGTCTTAATTTTTATTTAAATTGAAAATAAATATATATTTGTGAAGATAAGAAGCAAGCCGACAGGATCTTGATGGCATCACTTCTATTTTGAAAAGAATATAAAATAAAACATTGATTGGCCAAAACCAGGGGACCAAAGCACTTGGCAACCTCTCAATATCTCATTCCAGTCTAAGTGGGAATTATACTAAAGTTTCCATCTTTCCCATTCCCCACTATAATGAATATATGTACAGGAAATTCAATTATTAATTAGTTTTTTTCTTTCGATTTCAAGACTTCATCTTGTTTGGAAAGATCCGTATCGTACATCAGGTTTTGTTGGGTGAGTCTCATAGTAATTTTTTTTACATACATAAGGACTCGAACTTGATATTTTACTTAAGTAATATCAAACTATTTATTACTTAAACCAACGTGAAACGTCCAATATTAACATTTTCAGTGAAAAAAATAATGTTTTAAGTAGCGTTTTACCGGAAATATTAAACATTTTAGGTAACACCTAATACTAACATTTCTGATAGAAAAAATAATATTTTAGATATCGTTTTACTGAAAATATTAAAAAAATAAATATTTTCAATAACATATTTTTTTAATTATATATTAAGACTGTCATACTTTAAACATCCCTTAAACCAACCCTTGTAGGTAATTATTAATTAGATTTTGATATTATTATATGAATGACTTCACTAGGGGAAATCTCCAACAAAGAGATTGTGAATTATTATTATTTCTCCCACAAAATTCAAGGGAAAATAGAAGATTTTTTTTTCCAGGGTTTTATTTGGTATTTGCAGTGGAACAAGCCATGTTAGATATGAGATGGGTGGAGAGTACCTGTAAAGCATTTCTTTTTCAACAATAAATTGACTGACTTGGGGTTGAAAGTTGATCTGGAACACATAAAATCAAAATTTGTGTTAATTACAGCCAATGATTTCTGCTTTGAAAGCTTGGTTGATCATTGATGATGAAACGTAATTTGTAATTAACCTAACAATTCAGACTTTTTTTTCCCCATCAAACAACAAAAGAAGGAAAAAGAAAAAGACGTCGCTTTGCCACAATGTATATCTCTTCTTCATCAATGGTGGTTTTGGTGGAGCTTTACGCAAACCCAACTTTCACCCAACCAAAGTTTCTCTCTCTCTCTCTCTCTCTCTTTTTTGTTTATTCTTTTGATGAATCAATGAAAGGAAGAAATAGGAAGCAAACCCAGTTTTTCTTTTCATTTTCTTGAGGGGGGGTTTGAGGGAATAAAATGGTAAACCCTGGATTTTTTACATGGAACCCGGATAGAGTTTGATTATAAAAATCTTTCCTTTATAATTTTTTGCAAAAATTTCTGGTTGATTTTATTTTAAAATCCAGAAAACCGTGGAAAAATTCATGGGAAATATCGGAAGTAGCCGAGTAAATGGCCGGAGAAGACACGGAAGCCGACGGAACCACCCTCCCCCGCCACCGCCTCCTCCTCCGGCTCAGCCGCAAACCGAAATCCCGCCAACCGTTACGTCTTTGCCGCCGCAACCCCTTACCGCCTCAATATCCGAACACCAACCCACCTCAGCACTACCAGTACCCAGGGTACTACGCCCACCAGCCGCCCGTGCCGTTGCCGCTTCCGCCGCCCTACGATCATCAGCACCATCGGAGTGGGCCCCATATAGAACACTCGAATTGGGGTCGGTATGCCTATGGACCGATGATGCCACCGCCGCCGCCGGTGCCGTACATAGAACATCAGAAGGCGGTCACGATAAAGAACGACGTTAATTTGAAGAAGGAAACTTTGAAATTCGAGGCCGATGAGCTGAATCCCGGCAAGTACTTGGTTTCTTTCACTTTGATGCCACTGTCGCCGGAAGGTACAAAAATCCAGTCCCTTCGATTTGAGAAGTTTCATGCTTTGCCATATGATTTCTCCATCTTATAAAATTTTAGGACGAAAATGGATTATCAGTTGAAAATATCTAAATTATACTGAGTCGTGAATCGCAGTCTGTGAATAGCTGTGAATAGTATTTGGTCTGTTTGCAAACAGGATGACTGTTATTTTCTTTGCAAAAGAAGATGAAGACTGTAATCTGACAGCAATGAAGGAAAGCATTCTACCCCCAGTGATTGTACCATTCGAGCAAGGTCTGGGACAGAAGTTTAGATTGCCCTCCGGAACCGGGATCGACTTCTCTATGTTCGAGGCGTTGGAACTTCTCAAACTAGACGAAGTCGATATCTATCACCTGGCCGTGAAAGCCGAGGCATTAAACTTACCGGATGGTAACCAAGAATCAGGAGCCATGAATTCTCAGATAACTCAGGCCGTGCTCGAGAAGGACAAGGGCGAATACCAGACGAAAGTAGTGAAGCAGATCCTGTGGGTGAACGGGTTGAGGTATGAACTGCAAGAAATATACGGGATCGGGAACTCGGTCGACAACGACGTCGATGCAAACGAGAGCGGAAGAGAATGCGTTATCTGCCTCTCGGAACCTCGGGACACGACCGTTCTTCCCTGCAGACACATGGTAAATATAAGCCGCTTGTTCTTTTCTCTTCATTAGTTCAGGGAATTCGAGATTATAACCATTGGTTGATGTGAATTTGGTGTTGTACATAACGCAGTGCATGTGCAGCTCTTGTGCAAAGGTTTTGAGATGCCAGACGAATCGGTGCCCGATCTGCAGGCAACCGGTCGAGAGGCTTTTGGAGATAACGGTGAACAACGCCGGCACCGATGAATGAGATTCTAGCATGTTTGTTGAACTATCTTCCTGTATAGTGTATTTTGATCCTTTTTGTTCAGTAATTTGATCCTTTTTGTATTTCGTTTGTCGTTATGATTGGATTTGTTTGTATTTATTTTTGTTCGAGTTTTTTGTTTAGGTTTTAATCTTTCCTTGTTCGGTAATTATATGATCTTAAGTGACTAATTTTTGTTTCAATGATTATAAAAAATTGTTTTTTTTTAATTAAAAGGAGACCATTACAATGAAATACTAAGTGTAAATAAAAGCAGGACCATGAAGGTCACGAGCAAGATGAGGTATTATCTCCTGGGGAGGTTCGATGTATATGCATGGTTGATCATTTGAAACGACGGTAGATTTTGTAAGGAAGTCTGCTGCAGCGTTGGTTTCACGACGTATGAGAATGAATTCAATCTTCCATTGTTTTGAAATAAGGCTCGCAATAGATCTGACAAGAGACACTGGGCTGGATGCGGCTGTTGGAGAAGTCACAAGTGCTAGAGCTTCCGCACAGTCCGTTTGGCATTGAAGGCACTCGAGTCTTTGGGACCACGCTAATTGAAGTCCTTCAAGAATCGCCCAGAGTTCGGTTCGTAATGGGGAGGAAATACCAACAGCTTTATTAAATCCGACGATCCAATCTCCATCTTTGTTCCGAATGAGGCCACCTGTCGATCCTAGGGAGGAGGTATGATGAACTGCGCCATCCGTGTTGAGCGTAAACCAGCCAGCAGGCGCTGATCACCATTGAATAAGTTCTGGGCGGGGAAAAGCAGTACCAGTTGAGGAATCAGGCATCGTAGTGATGAAATAATTAGCCCAGTTTTTGCTGTGATTGAGTAATTGATCATTAGAGAGGGTCAGATTGGAGAATATGGATGAATTTCTTCGCTTCCAGATCTGCCACGTTAGGGAAGCAAATAAAGTTTTCCAAGGGATTTTAGAACCTGCAAAAAGTTGATTGGAATCAAGATTCATCATAAGCCATTCATTAGATTCTAGAGTGAAGAAATCCTGAAGTTGCTGTTGGCGAATGATCAATTGCCAAAGAGAAGCAGTTTGTTTGCAATCTCACAACTCATGCAACAAAGTTTCAAGTTGATCCGCATATTTGACATAAAGGATCATCGGTAAGGTTTCACGCACATCGATTTAAATTCGTTAGTAATCGATCTCGATAGGAAATCCAAAGGAAGTGTTTGATACACTCCGGGATAGGAAGACGCCAGAGCTTAGTCCATTTAACATCTTTAGGACTCCAAAGTTCTTTTGTAATAAGATCATAAGCGGATTTCACAGAGAATTCACCATTCTTGTTGTGAAGCCAGGAACAACGATCAGTGCCAGCATTAGGATTAGGGGGCTGGACATTCAAAATATGCTGGAATGTGGAATGCTGAAGAGTGTGTCGAATGAAGTTCCAGTTCCAGCTACTGTTCGATTGAGCAACGTCACAAACCATCAAGTTGTCTTCAATAGTGATTCCTTATTGCTTCCAGTTAAAGAGGTGCCCAAGTTTCGGCAACCAATTATCGTGCCAAAATCTTATAGAAGCACCATCACCTACGGACCAAGAGATGAAGCTATGGAAATTATCCCAGACCTTAGATAAAGACCTCCATAAATGAGAGCAATTCAGCCGCGTGATTGAAGGTGGGCACATAGATGTCACCTTATATTTTTGTCGAAGGAGTTTTATGAAGTATGTCTCTGTGTTCGAAGAAACTGCAAAACAAAGCTTCATTAGGAAAGCCGAATTATGCTGCTGTAACCTCATAATGCCGAGACCTCCATTGTGTCTAGGTTGAGATAAGACATCCCAACTAACAATTGGAATGCCACGAGATTGGTCGTTAGAAGTCCATATGAATTGTCGAACGATTTTTTCAATGTCGTGACAAACTTTGGAAGGGAACCGACAAGTATGCATGAAATAGGTGGGAATGGCCATAAAAACGGAGTTAGCAAGAGTAACCCAACCAGCAAAAGAGAGGGATCGAGCTGACCACCCTTGGAGCTTCGATTTAATTTTATCAATTATGAAGGCATATAATTTGCAAGTGGCACGCTTATGCATCACCGGCATTCCGAGATAAACACCCAAGTTAGAGACTTGTTTGATGCCAAGACGAGAACATACTAAATTTGCTGATTCAACACTGGTATTTGGCGAGAAGTAAATATGAGATTTGAGTTTGTTTACTTTGTGACCAGAATAGTGGCCAAATTCCGCCAGAATATTGTCAATCAAAATTGCTTGATCAGTAGATGCCTTGGCATATAGGATTAGGTCATCTGCAAAGAATAGATGACTGATAGGAAGGCCACCCCGTACAAGCTTGAACGGTTTCCAATCACCTCTTTCAGAAGCAAGCTGAATACGGTGACCTAGTCTTTCCATAGTAAGAACAAAAAGATAAGGAGAGATTGGATCCCCTTGCCGAACTCCTCGTTGCGGTTGAAATTCAGAACTAAGACCTCCATTGAATTGGATCTGCATTGTAGAGGATGATATACAATGCATTATGAGTCGGGTGATTGTAGGGGGAAAGCTTGCTTCATACATATATTTTATAAAAGATGAATTCACTAAATATATGTATATATATATATATATATATAAAAGATGAATTCACTAAAATTTTATATAAAATTTAAACTCCTCCTATCCCAATTAGAATATCAGATATTTTTTGAAAAACTAAAATATAATATATGATTATTTTGTTCTTGATAATCATTACTTTAAAATTATAAAGAATGTTACCTATTTTAATGAATTTAAATCCAAAATTAATATTTTTTTTATATTATTTAGAAGTCTATTTGTACATTTACATAATCATCAATCCATCATTCATAATAATCACTACTCATCAAAATTGGGTTGGGAGGGTCACTTTTGCCTCTGCAATATCCGATCTAGATTAGTCGATCAATAGATTAGATACCGTTGATTATGCCAAAAGGGAAAGTCCTAGGGGATATGCACATATTTTCAATCTATAAAAATAGATAAAATTTCCACCAAATCTTCTATAAAGTGTATTTTGCCTAATTTTAAAATACTTAAAAATAAATACATATATTATATTATATATATATATATATATATATATATGAACTTATAATATGTACATGCAAACCATATAAAGTTATGAATAATACATAATTATAAGAATTTCTTCGAAGAATGGTTGATAAAACATTTACATGAATGATACAAATTTCAATAATGTAATATATTACAAAATTAACAAAAACGAAGAAAACAAAAACCAAAAAAAATCAATAATTTATTTCAAACTTGCTTTAAAGATAATAAATTATAGGGTAAAATACACAAATGGTCTCGAGACCATTAACTTTTAAAAGTTACAAAATGATCTTTTGACTATAGAGCGTTGCTTTGTTGAATCATTCGACTATTAAAAGTTACAAAATGGTCACCCGACTATTCATTATGTTCCAAACTAATTATTTCCGTTAAAAAATTGACAATATTTTGAGTTGAACGTTAACCTGTTGACTGTGATATTATAAAATTTAATCTCAGAATCTCACATAACTATCATACCTCAATCATTATATTAACGTCCAGCTTAAACAACAAACATTTTTTAACGGAAAATGATGAGTTTGGAATATAATGAATAGTCGGTGACCATTTTGTAACTTTTAATAATCGATGGACTTAATAAAGTAATACCCTATAGTCGGGGACAATTGTGTACTTTACCCTATATTATAATTAAACTAAGTAATTCGTATTGGGTGTAATGTTAATATACGTTGTATCCCTAAAAACATATGTTTAAATTTTAAGGCAGATGTTGTAAAAAGTGGTGGAACTGTTAAGGGTGTTTTTTGGAATTAAATCAAAATATGTTGACGAAAACGGGTAAAGAAAACAAAAGAACACGAGAATTTTATGAGGTTCGGCAATGTGCTTACGTCCTCGGTGCCTAGACGGCGCTAGAAGTTTTATTCAATTATCTTTTAGGTCTAGGTTACATCTCTATTTATAATAGAAAACCCTGGTACATAATTACAAAATCAACCATGTACCGTACCGCGGGGCGCAGCCCCCGCACACCCAACCCACATAATTCGTAACCCCACAACGAGACTTTCTTTGTAAGGACAGTTGATGTTCGCTGCGTTCGCTTCGCTCACTCCGCTCCATCTCCTGTCCTCTTTACTGGTATATTTATGAGCCATACCTAACAAAATATAATATATAGTTTAAAACTTCAAAGAGATAGGGTGATCCAAGCCTCAAAAAAAATATTTAATAGTATATATTGATTATAATGTCGTATTTGTTTAGATTTTTAAATTAATTATTTGTATCAAATTTATTGATTGATTAATCTATATCATATTTTGAGATTCCTTATGATAGCTATCCTCTAAGTTCCAACTCAGTTTGTTTCATTTTCAATTATCAGGATTTGACTCATCGCTTAAGAAATTTAGTGTCTCATCTCATTAGATAAACTTATTTTTGACGGTTCAGAATTTTTTAAAATTATTAATAATGCATACATGGTATGAAATATATTTGGAAATAATAGTCATCTGAATACTTGAGTAAAGCTAGAAATTCATATATAGAGATAATTGTGAACAAAGATAAGCGAGCTAAGACACCAAGCAAAACAACAAGAACAAAACACATGCATGCATACACTTGGAGTAATTTTAGCTCACTGTTTAGTCATTTCAAACAAGGAAACGTGACCCCATTACTGACCATTCACAAGATGAACTTCTGTTCCTTTTTCTGGGGTTTGATTAATTAATTCCCAGACTCCAACTCGGTCCCCCAGTCACCAGCTTTTTCGAAACAAGATGCAGCCTTGTAAGTTGTAATTTGGGGTAGGTTGACTCAGTGGTTGCTGCTGAATTGACTCAGACCCATGGTCGAGCCTATTGATGCGAACTTGGCTAGTTCCTGGGGTAAAAACGGACGAGCAGGTTGATCATTGCTCATGCCAAGGAAATCCCTAGTCAAGCTTTGGTCAATTGAGTTCGAACCGGGGTGCATCTTTAATTGACTCGGGCTCGGCTCACTTTGTTTCACTACTCCCGTTTGTAACAGCAGGTTGTTGCTTGACGCCATGAAACACTCTTGTTGACCGATGCCATGGGAAGAAGACGAGCTCATTACACCGAAAAACGACGTCGAGTTGCTTCTCGTTGAACCCATCTGTGCCGCTTTCTGCAAAAGCGCGGTTGCGGACATCGGTGTAGCCTGCTGTTGCTTTATTTGAGTATCCGAGTAGAGAGACGACATATTTTCCGTCGACTTCCCTTTGCTTCCACCTTCTTCTTTTAGCCCTCGTGGCAATGGCAATAGGGGAAGATTCGAATTCGTACCGAAATTGCCAATTGATGATGAACCAAAGAGATTGCCAGAAGCCATTTGAACCATCTCAGGCATACCTGGGCAATTACATTAACATGTTCCCAAGTTTAACTATTCATCATATCAGAAGAAAACTATGATGTATAAAAGGATCATGCAATACTTTTACCAATATCATGCTGGTGCACAGGACAGACGTAGAAATTATATCAGGGACAAAAACAAATTGTCAGATACCTGACGCGGTCATCCCATTGAAATCTTGTGTAAAACCCGAACGAAATTGAGGGATTCCAGCAACATCAAGAGCTCCTTGGCCAGCAAATCCGATAGGCATATTCACAATATCGTTTCTGAAATTCAGATTCGTGGCCGAAGCTGATGAACTGAATCTTGCACTTTCTTCAGCCAAGGCATCACAAAACGCTCTATGTGTGATGAAGCTGTCTTTTCTGTTCGAATCAAAAGAACCCCAAATTAATTAACACAGGCCATTTATGACCTAATCATTAGGTTTCCTCGAATCCAATTCGAAACCCTTAAAACATGTAGTATTTGATTTTCATGAGGATTCATGTATACCTGGAGAAGAGTGTCCCACAGTCACACTTGTACTCCCGTGTACCACAAGTCTTGGAATGAGCTTTCCAGTCGGATTGAACAGCGTATTTCTTGGAACATTTCTCACACTTCCACTTCTTCTCTCCGTGTTTTCTGCTGAAATGTTTCTTTATCCCAGTGAGATCGCCGAGTGCTCGAGAAGGATCATGGTGGACGCAGGTCTTCTCGGGGCAAATGTAAACCTTCTTCCTAATCGCTTCTTTGTTGTTCCTTTGCTTCAGCTTCCATGGAAGATTGTGACCCCTCCGATGAAGCTGTAGGTTCTGGTCTCTTTGGAAACCTTTGTTGCATATTTCACATATGAATCTGTTGGTGGCCATTAGAGTTATGGGAGATAAAGCAATAACTTCAGCATCTGGATCTTTCACAAGACAAAGAAAATAATAAAAATCAATAAAAAAAATAAAGAAAAGGGTATTATCGAGAGAGAGAGAGAGAGAGAGAGCAAACTTACCTGGATTTCCTGGAAGATTTCTCTTCTTCTTAACTGGAATAGATTTAGGGTTAGGGTTTGCATGATTCTGTTCTTGATGAACAAACCCTCCTATGGAAAACGCCTCAGCAGACATTTTTTGGCAACTAAATCCCGAAAACTGATAGTTGTAAGAGGAAAAAAAACAGTATAAAACAAAAGGAAAACAAGGATTTCTCCAAACACAAGTAGATAAACGTTTGGTGTATATATATTTATATATATATATATATATATTAAAATACTGACTCGGTGACTCAGCTTTTTATATATCTCTCTGGTTTGGTCAAAGAGACTAGAAAAGCACAACTCAAGCTTAAATCTAAGACAATTCTCCCAACAAACAAATATACTTACTAAGCTTAGATCTGGTGTTTTTTTTCCTTTCTCAAGCTCCAAAAACTGTTATCTTTCTTTTTCCTCCTTGGTCTTACATTATTCAACTCTCGTTCTATTTCATGCACGAACACAATCGTTGAAATCAGCGTTTGTGCGTGGAAGACAGCGACCTGCTGAAAATATATTGATTTTCGCAGTGGTTGTAGCAGCTTTTGAGTTCAAACCACGTAGCCTAGCCTGGTTTTAAAACAACTTAGTAGTATTTTAATGGTATTTGCAGTAAAGCCTATAGAAAAAGGGAGAGATTTTGAGGGGCTTAGAGGTGTGTTGTTGTCTTTTTGTCTAGTGATGTGAGTCCATGAAAAACGGACTTTTGGGTTTAAAAAGTGGAATGGCTTTACAGGCCATGTTTTTACGGATGAAATGATTAATCCATAATTAAAAAGTAAGACCGGATATAGGGTAGACAGGGGGAAGAGATAAGGGATGGGGTTCCCGAGAGAGAGAGAGAGAGAGAGAGAGTGGAAGGACGGTCCGTGATACTTGTCTGGGAAAGTGGGATCCATATTTGAACCGTGACTCAGATGCTCCACCTTCCTCAATCATCCCCGATCCACTATTTTCACTCATGCATAAAATCTTTCACCATATTCATCCATCAAAATTAAGCGTAAATCGATTTAGATTAATTAAGACGAAACCTTAAAATTAAAAAAATAATTAATTATTCGACTTTATTAACATTCTTAAAGCAAACTAGATCAAAGGTAGAGTATAAACATGGAGATGTACAACATGCTTGGTGATTCAATAGGTCACAATGAGAGATCTAAATTGTAGTTGCAGTCGCTTTTTCAGTCGTATTATGTTTATTGTGGTTGTGAATATAAAATGTGCTATTGCGGTCATTATGTGTATCGCAGTCCTAAATTTTTTTAAATGAGTTGATTTAAAAAAACTGATTTTTTTAAAAAAAATTAAAATTACGGGAAAATAACGGAATAACGGTATGCTATTGTCGCGATTGGCCGCTACTCGTTCAATACCGCGACCTACCGTTATTGGTGTGATTCTACTATACACTGTTATTTTCTGCGATAACGGTCTCGGATTCCACCGTGATATGGCGGCCGTTATTTGAATCCCTAGTCACGAGTGAAAGAGATTGGACGGATTTTAGTTTGTCGTTTCTGAATTGGATATAGAATCGTTGATCAAAGAGTAGAAGTTTATAGTTTTTTCTGGTGCATTTTGCAAAGATTTCATATAGAATAGACTTATTTCAGATTTCTTCTCTTTTTTTAGAAGTGAAATGTGAATATTTATATCCTTTATGTGTTATACATGACCATACTAACACTAAAGGACATCGTCTATCATCTTAACTGGTCACCCGCAGTGAAAGTATAGACTGCGACTCTCCGTATAATTTAAAAAGGGTGAATCATCCATAGTCGTCACCAGAAAATTAAATTATTGTCGTGGTCACGTTTTCTATTACATGTTTGATGTGTCTCAAAATGAGAGTATCACATGTTCGACGTGTTACCATACGATAAGAACTATAAGTAGCATTCACCTTAAATCTTATTCTACTAAAATATAAAGGTTAAATTATTTATTTTTGTTATTCAGTTTTAGTTTTAAGTTATATAATTAAGTAACACAGATCAAATTACCTCAGTGATTAAACAGATGATTATTATTTCTAGAGGTTTCGAGTTCGAACACTAGCGACTACATCATGGGTGATTTAGTGTTCATTGTCAAATAGTTGATAATAATTAAAACAAATACTACTTTATATAATCACCTTAACTTGATAGAAAAAAATATATAATTAGGTATTAAAATTTGATTTTAAGGTTTTTACTTTGATATTTATTTTTTTATTCAACTAAGTACATGAAGTTCATGAACTTGACTTGTTGGTTTAAATTGATACACGAGCTTTGCTATTTTAATTTAAAATGGTACTCACGATAAATAATATGTTTAAGCCAATTTGAATCATGAAGCCAAATTTAGGTATCAATTTCAAAATAAAAATCAAGTTTGAATACCTAATTGGATAAAAAAAACTTTGGGTATCAAATTAAACCTTTAAACTATGTTTAAGTACATGATTGGGCCAAAAATATTTAGGTGCCAGGTGCACTTTGAAATCAAATTCAAGTACCAAAATTTATTTATTCAAATATAAAAGTTAATTGATAAATATTTGTGTAATGACAAGACACATTGCATTCTTTAGGACAGAACTTATGTTTAAACTTTGGAGACTATTATCGAAAAAGACAATCACAACTTAAAATATGAACAATAAAATAGGCCTAAAAAATACCGATATGTATTGACATCGAGAAGGTAAAATTTATTTTTTTAGCTTGTGTGTAATTCTTTAATAACCATGCAAACAAATTGCAATTCTATCAGTTTTATAAGGGGTAAATTTTACATTTAGTACCTAAACTATCATTTTTGGTCAGTTTTAGTACTTAGACTTTCAGTTTTTCAAAATCATATCTAATGTTTAGTTTTTTACTTTGTTTTAGTACCTCGCCGTTAATAACTAAACAGGTTATTTGCACGTGACACCTCTTTTATGGGTAAATTACATCATTCATCACCTATCTATCTTCTTACTCCTATTTTGGTTACTAAAGTTTAATTTTTTTAATTTAATTACTTAACTTTCAAATTACTCCTAATTTAATCACTCTAACTTTCAAATTTTTTTATTTTCAATTATATATTAATAAAATAATAAAAAATTTAATTTCACAAAAATTATTAACAAAATAAATTAGAGTGATTAAAATATGAGCATTTTGAAATCTGAGTAGTTAAATTGAAAATTTTAAATTTTAGTACCAAAATAGGAGTGACAAGATAGTTGAGGGATGAATAATATAATTTACCCGTAAATATGTTTTTGTTGATAAGTTTTTAACCGCGGGTTACTAAAATGAAATAAAAAACTAAAATATTAGGTATAGATTTGAAATATAATTTAGGTGCTAAACACATAATTTACCCTTTATAAGTGTATATCAAGAGGGTTGGATTTGAACACGTGGATGTCTTAATCGAAACTGACTTCGAGTTTTGTAAATCATAATTCCATGGATGTATTAGACAATGTTTATAATAATTAATATGGGATATATACAGTAACGGAACTAAAAATATTTTTAAAGTGGACATATACATATTAATTATTGAAATTTTTCGTATAAGGTGAGCACAAATAAGATTTCAGGATGGACACCTCTAGTAAAATCAAAAACTAATATAAAGAAATTCAAATTCCAAAACATATACATATCCACCCTGAATATGCTTTGCATCCGCCACTATATATATATATATATATATATATATGATTCAACTGCTTTTGGCTCCATGCATTCGGCATTTCCTTCCACAATATTTGATGCCCTAGGCATCCTATGCTTTTTTTCCTTTATTTTTTGTTTAAAAATGTTTAGAGAATATAAGTAGATCGAGACACATGCACATGTATAGTGGTACACACCAAGTCCCATGTCTCATTTTTAGGGTTTTTGAATATATTTTTTAAAATATCTCTCATATATATTATTTAAAATATAAATATTAAATGTATATTTATATATGATATGAATATATTTAAATTGATTTTTTTTCTTATATATTCAAAACATATTATTTCTATTAATATACTGATATGACATAAACTAAAAATAAAATAAAAGGAGATGAAGGACGTTTCACAAGATAAATAAAAATAATAGGGTCCGACCAGAAACGACATATTTACACTCGTCGCTTGCATTTGCATGCATAGATTCCTGATCTTTGTCCCTTTTCTAATTATTATCTATGGATTATTATGCATCCTTAATAGAAAAATAATTTCACAAGAGATTTTAAAATAAAAAATGAGTGTGTACCACTCTACTTAAGAAATATTCCATGAAATGAGTTGTTTTGTTTTATTTATTTTAAGACCTATATAATTCCCCTACACTAAATTAATAAATAACCATGGATGGTTTCTTTTGTTTTATTAATACGGTTTAACATAAAAATAAGTACATCAACTTTTAGGTTCCTAACGTTTTCTCTGTTACACTTTTAGGTGTATGGCATCAATCGCCGTTAAAAATACCGTTAAGTGATTCGTGTCATGCTCTGGTAATTTTTGGAATTTTTATTTAAAAATAAAACATAAAAAATAGAATTTTAAAAAAACCTAAATTATTCTTTTAATTCTAAAAAAACCCCAAAATTTTAAAAAATTCATTTTAATCCATTTGCCACTATCGGTCACCACCAACACCGTCAATCGACTGAACACCCAACGACATATGGCCGACCAACCACCCACGTCCAAAAACCCCAAAATTTCATAACCGATTGAATACCCAAAAATGGTGTAATTGAAAATTTTTGTTTTAGGGTTTTAAAACCATAAAAATCCCTTAGATCGATTATGGTGCTCGATCGTTTGATCGGATGTGGTAGTCGGTCATTTGCCTTTTGGTCGGCCGTGGCATTCGGTCTTTGGCCGTGGCAGTTGGTCGTGGCAGGGGAGGGGAGGAGTGATGTTTTTTTAATATTGATAGAGAAGTGACAGCGGATGATGAGCGTTGTTCTTGTTAAGGAATCAAACCTAGAAAGCTCTAAATTTGATCAAAGAACGAAAGAGAAAGATCGAGATGCTATGGGCGGTGGTAAGAAGATGGTATATAACACCCTAAACCTATTGGACCTAAAGTGCCATATTGGGCTATCGAGACTACCCTTGATTTTCAAAAACCTATTCATTTTCTTTTCAAATATACATAATAGTATCATAATTAAAATATAAATAATTGTTATAAATCATTTTACAAAATCGGAGCTCCGTGACACATAATTTAAAATCAAAATAATACAACTCTGAGTTTAATAAATTGAATGCATAAGTAAGGTACTATGAATACATATGCCCACTAAGCTACGACACAATACTCTGAAGGAATGCTAGAAGTCTTGTTGTGACAGTGCTCCATGAACTGCTCATGCTACTAACCTGCCAACGGAAACATCCGAAGGCTGAGCTTACAATGCCCAACAGTATAATTGCTAATCTAGAGTAGTATAAGAATTTCATAAACAGAAGCATGCTGAAGACATGGTACTAAGTAGTATGTACATGCATGATCAGACTAAGTGCTACCTACTTAAGGCTTAGTTGTCCTATTTCTGAAGTGGGGGAACTCATTCTCCCTTAAATCCTCTACTAAGGGTTTAGTCATGAGTATATCTCTAAAGGGGTCTATTACCCTAATATCTGAATC